TCAACACTGAAGCAGCGAACTTTGTGAAGACCAATACTTGTGTCATTCTCAAAACTTTTGACCACGACTGTAGAGCCATGACTACATGGAACTTTATTCCACATCAAGTAACTCATGCAAGCAGCAAAATTAGATTTTAAAAAACAGATACAAATGTACCTTATGAAACAGCGGGGCCTGTGAAGCAACACAAACATAGGCACAGACACATGCATACAAACACAAGATAACATACGCACTATACACACAGGTACACATGGATTTTGTGTTGTAGATATGTGGTAGTAGAGTAGGGGCCTGAGGGCACATATGTTGTGAAATCTGTTGTGAATGTATTGTAATGGTTTTAAAAATGCCTTAATTTTGCTGGACCCCAGCAAACACAGTTCTACAGTATTAGTAAAAATGTGATCAATACATGTGGATGATCTTGTTCCTGTAGTGTTTGTAAACACCCTGGTAGGTTGATTAATAACCAGAACTAGATTACAGGCACTGGTTACAGTAAGCTTCCTCTTTAGTGGACAGCTTGATCAATACCAGTCAATATTCAGGTCCCCAAGAAAGTAGACCTCTCTGTTTACATCACATACACTATTAAGCATTTCACACACATTATTTAGATACTGACTGTTAGCACTTGGTGGCCTATAGCAACAGCCCAAAATAATAGGCTTTAGATGAGGCAGGTGAACCTGCAGCCACAGTACTTCCATAACACTTGACATGAGATCTTCTCTAAGCAATACTGGGATATGGCTCTGAATATATATAGCAACACCTCCCCCATAAGCATTCCTGCCTCTTCTATAGATGTTATATCCTTGTATTGCTACTGCAGTATCAAAGGAATTATCTAAGTCTCAGAAATGGCTAATATATGAATGTTATATGATGTTAGCAAGCATTGATTTCCTTAACCTTATTTCAGAGGTTACATATATTAATATGGGCTATTTTCAGCCCTTTCCTGGGTAGCTTCTCAGAGATAGACATAACATGGAAAAGAACAAACAAAGCAAGAGAAAAAAAACATGCATTTAGCAGTCCATTAATCAGTTGATGTGTGTAAGTGTGTGTGTGTGTGCGCTGCGGAGTTAAAGTTACGAACCCATAGGCTTGGCTGTCTCATCCCTTCCAGGCGCATATTTAACGAGATATAACCTATTTTGCATATTTTATACAATATTTCAGAAAATAATATATACAAAAAAGTATCATATTTGTGTCTACATTCAACTGGTAAAAGTTATGATATGATTAAGAGAAAAATGATGGTGTGGTGCCAGGATATAACAGCTGGGTTAAGGTAACAAAAGTTTTCCTAAAACAATTCACATAAAGGTCTGCTTCAGCTGAACAATTGTACTAGACAGGTTACATCACATCGAAGCACCTTGAACAGTGCAAGAGCACTACACGAACCACACCCATGCCTGATACTATTATTTTCCAAAACAGACACTGGCAGACACTTAAGTACATCAATCTAGACAGATCCATCAGAGGTGCTGCAGAGGCTTTAGATGTGGCTCTCCGTCGTCACAGAGAGGAAGCGATTCTCCCTCACTGTGAATTGTGAGTGGCAGGTCAACATGCAAGATGAGACAGCACAGAGATAAGAGACAACCAGGGCTGAGATAGCAGGGACCTTAAAGTCCCACTACAACATGTCGTTTTACCCTTAAGTGTACATTACTGTATTTATACTTAGTATATCGCTTTTCAACAGGAAAAGTTTAGAAATCGCTGGACGACTTCTTCAATGTTTAAATACACCAAATCACTGAAGTCATCTCAGCACTGGACACTGAGGAGGAGGAGGAAAAGGAGGAGGAAAAGGTGGAGGAGACAGATAAGGAGCCGGAGGAAGAAGAGGATCACAATGGACAGAGTTGACAACATCAGTCAGTCTGGATTGCCAATAGTCAGACAACAGCCACAGTGACAGAGTGCTGATACAGGTGTCTACTCTGCTCTGGGCTCAGCTAATCGATAACACAGGTGCGTCCAAAATGGCACCCTATTTCCTATATAGTTCACTACTTTTAGGGGCCTGGTCAAAAGTAATGCACTGTATAGGGAATATGGTGCCATTTGGGACATACCCTCAGACTCCACGAAATGAGTGCCTTTAGCGTCCTTCTGATATTTGCACACACACATACATACAATTTTAAAAGCTTGTTATATTAAATGAAGTGCTCTTTAATATAGACCACATGGAAAATTCAATATATCCGATTTTTTATATGAATAAAAACTTGCTAAAGTGCCAAAATTCTACAGTGATGTAAAGTACTTAAGTAATAATACTTGAAAGTACTACTTAAGTAGATTTTTGGGGGTATCTGTAGTTTACTATTTATATTTTTGACAACTTTATACTTTTACTTCACTACATTCCTAAAGACAATTATGTACTTTTTACTCCTTACATTTTCCCTGACACTCAAAAGTACTCATTACATGTTGAATGCTTAGCAGGACAGGAAAATGGTCTAATTCACACACTTATCAAGAGAACATCCCTGGTCATCCCTACTGCCTCTGATCTGGCAGACTCACTAAGCACATGCTTCATTTGTAAATTATGTCTGAGGGTTGGAGTGTGTCCCTGGCTATCCGGAAATTTAAAAAACAAGAAAATGGTGCTGTCTGGTTTGCTTAATATAAGGAATTTGAAATGATTTGTATACTTTTACTTTTGATACTTAAGTATATTTTAGCAATAACATTTACTTTTGATAATAAAGTATATTTAAAACAAAATACTTTTAGACTTTTACTCAAGTAGGATTTTACTAGGTGACTTTCACTTCATTTTCTATTAAGGTATCTTTACTTTTACTCAAATATTAATATGGTGATACTATTCCTTTTTAAATATTTATTTCAAATCATAGTGTAAAAGCAGGTGAGCTGGTTCTACTATTTTTTGCCATTTTCTGTTTTTTTTGCGGTGGAAAACTGAGTGCGTCGAGCATAACACGTCAACCCTGTTACCCATACATAGAATGACAGGTTAGACATTTTTTCACAATTTACTATTTTTTTTTGTGAAGCTTGCATTCAATTGCCCCTCCCTGTTGCACACAAGCTTCCATTTATGTCTGATTTAAGATGAAATCGTCTACCCCATTACTGTCTACCCCATTACTTTATGTGGCACTTAGATGGGAAAACATGTTTTTTTATTAAGTTGAACATGTGCTCTTTATGACAGAATGTTAATATTAGGTTAAAAAAAAAATACATCCACCAAGTTACACTACTCAAAAGGCACTTAAATCGGTGGAAGGACCCAGTTAAAGCATCCGTGAAGAAATGCACAGTCAGGCTTCCAATAACAGGGGGCTGGGAGTGGTGTGAGGGGCTGGGCACCCCCATAACAAAGGCAATATTAATGTGCCAACCACACACACAGACAAGGACACTCGCACACACACATACACGCACACAAAGATTTCAAAGATATGGACATTTGGTACCTCCAAGAGTCAATGTGTAATTCGAACATTATTCAACAAGATGACATCATCATATACAATGGCGTGACTCCCTACTTAGACACCAACAAGGGGATGGGGACGGCAACAGGCTATGTTTAGACCTGCTTAAAAGAGTTAGGCTTCTAACTGTTTCAAATCTCTCTGTTCTGTGACAATAGACATCAAGTAATCTTCAATTTTAGCTCCTGTGTTGTTCTCAAATTGTATTAATGATTTGGGAAATGGGATGCAACCAGCAAATTTGCATCTATATGCAGATGAAAAAGGCATATATTCATGAGCTCCTTCTCTGGTTCAGGCTGTTGAAGAGCTCCAGACTGCTTTTCAGTCACTGCAGGCCTCCCTTTATGGTCTCAAACTGGTCTTGAATGTACAAAAAACAAAATGAATGTCCTTTACCAGAGCTCGCACTCAGCCAGAGAAGGTTAGCATTGTCACATCTGGTGGCTTATCCATTGAAAAAGTGTAATCCTACAAATACCTAGGTATATGGTTGGATGACAAGTTGTCCTTTAAAGGTCATATGGATAATATTGTGAGGAAGCTTAAATTGAAATTGGGTTTTTATTTTCGTAATAAGGCTTGCTTCCCGCTTATGGCTAGAAAGAAGCTTGTTCAGGCCACTTTTCTCTCTGTAATTTAATATGGTGACTTGTATATGCATGCAACCTCCTCTGTTTATCATGCATCCTTGTGCTTTATTACAAATGCCAAGTCACTCACCCACCATTGCACCTTGTACCAAATGGTAGGTTGGACCTCACTTTATATGGGCAGAAAGCTACATTTGTATGCGTTAATCTACAAAACCCTTTTGGGTAAACTCCCTCTTTACCTCTGTAGTCTGGTCTCCTTCACCACAAGCAATTAACATACGCGGTCTGCTAGGTGGTTGCTACTTAAAGTCCCCAGGACATTTACAGTACTAGGTAAGACTGCCTTCTCGTCTTGTGCACCAGAGGCATGGTATAGTCTACAATCCATTCTTCATCTAGATATGTTAGTGCCACTGAATGAATTAAACATTTTGATGGGAGACTCTGTTACAGAGGAATGTAAATGCTTTTTTTTTGGCTGGATCATGTTGTTAATGTGCATTGTATTGTTGTATGTTTTAATTCTGTAAGGTATTGATTGTTGCTGCCTTCTTGGCCAGGTCTCCCTTGAAAAATGTTAAATAAATAAAAATGCCAGAGGGCCTGGATATTGCTTTGGGGGCCTTTGTCTTCCTATCTGTAAAATCAACTGCCAGGTCGCAGTTGTAAATGAGAACTTGTTCTCAACTGGCTTACCTGGTTAAATAAAGGTGAAAAAAAGTGTGTTACTTTCTTATATTTTTTATAATAAAAATATAAAAATAACTAGGGAACAACTGCTTCGGTCTGTGTGACTCTGCTGCAGTAGCGAGAGCGGTGTGTATCTCTTGCAGTGGGGGGGATGAGAAAAAGAGAGAGCGCAAGAGATAGAGTAAAAAGAGGTGTGACTCACCTGTATCTCCTGCAGTTGGGGGATGTGGAGGGTGGAAAGCAGCAGCAGGGCACAGCTCCAGGACAGAGCAGGGTTACACAGCTGGGCAACAGCCAATGACAGGCCCAGATGGCCAAGGACCACGCCCACTCCTTTAGTCCCCAACGCACCGCAAGCCGCAAGGAGACCATAGGCCAACAGAGCTGTCACTCTGAACTGATGGGGAGCGGAAAAGCAAAAAAGCCTTAAAGCTACAGTATTTTGGTTCTAATTTGTCTGGGGAAAAAATGGGGGTAAAAATGTTACGGTCCCACTTCAGGTTTTCCTTGTATAGTATACCTTAGGAATGAAGAAGCTGGCTAGTCTGGAGACCACAGCATGGCCCAACAGAGTCCACAGCAGAGACTTTCTAGCCCAGTGACTCCAGAAACTCCACTCAAAGTCTGTGGGGTCCTGTCAAAGACAACTCATTTTACCATGGGCCCAGTCTGAAAACTTCATGCCATTTGACAAAACCTTAGGAATAAAAAAAGACACATCTCGGGGAAAAAAAAAATCAAGAAATTGACGCACCTCGGGAAGTCGTGAAATGTTTGTAGACCTGAACGGCCGTAAATGATTTTTACCTTTTTATACCCCCATATTAGAAAGCCTTTCTCCAGTTGGGACTGTCTCTCCAATCCTGCTTCATGTTCTAGGAAAAGAGAACATATTTTTGTGGCATCTTCTCACAATGAGACTGTACAGACAACAATCATTCTGTTTTTATTCCAGAGTTTTGCCAGGAGGCTTGAAGAACTCCACTATGAAGTATGACAAGCTCTGTGGGGAACTATGCAATATTAAGGGAATAGCACACTATAATCAGTCCACCTAATCCACTTTGCTTTCCATGAAGGCTTTTTCAAGAGAACTGGGTGCAATCATTGTGATGACAACACACCAGTGTCTCCCCTACCCTTGTACATTATAGGAGGGGAGGGGTGGGCCCCCACCAACTCTGTTCCCCTTGCCTACAATAATTTGTCTTAAATCAGTTTCAATTGACATTTTGGTCAAAGAGGCCCTGGATGTTAATTTGGGGGCCTTTGCGCCCCACCTGGAAAATAACCTAGCTAGGAGAAACACTGCAACACACAGGGAATCCCTAGATATAGCCTAACACTAGCATTATTTCCCTCCCCCTCTCCCTGTTCTGCAATGTAGCATCAGCTTCTTTACTATCCTTTCGTCTCTCTTTTATCAAACTCCTTTTTCCACTACCGTTCCTTGGGGTTATTGCCTTGTCACCTAAACAAAAGGCGTTGCTTCCTGCATGAAAATGCAACAGAGTGAGATGGGACTGCACCTCTCCCCAGCCCTGCCCATGTAATCCCCTGAATACTAATATTATCAGCCTTCTTCAGAATGTTAAAATTCTGATAAGAATGGGTAGAACTAATTATTTTCTCCCATCAGATTCTGTTCCCCTTAGGCCTTTCCTGTCTGGGCATAGTGGAATCATTATGAGAGATTTTGTTTTGTGTCCTATGGTTTCATTTTAAACATAAGGCCGAGGCTGCGTTTCCGAAGGTAAGTGCCCCGTTCCGCCCACCTGGAAGCCTCTTCCCCAGAGCTAAAAAAATCTCTATCACGTTCTGCGTATGTTACTTTACCTCTACTTTACGCACACATAAATCTAGTTTTACCGGTGAAACGTCCATGCAGCATCTGCATGCATTGCCAACCATTTAATCTCAATTTGTTTCATGGGGACATGCATTTAGATCTTCTTGAGTTATATACAGTGTGGTTTCGAAGTACAGTCAGTGCTTGACTTGGACAGGAGGACAGAGTACCGGCACCTCAAATATTCTACTGCTTGAGCTCCGGTTCATTTTATAGAATATTAGCTCAAAAGTATTGTGGAGCTCCTGCACCTAAATATAAACGGTAACGGCACCCAAATTGAGTACCGGCACCTATTTCAGTCCAAGTCAAGCACTGAGTACAGTGTTGTTTTGAATTATGTACAGAGCGAATTTTAGAGCAGATGCTGTTCAACTGTAGCATACCTGTGTTTTGTTTCAATCAAAGCAAAAAAACGTTTCTGCAAGGGGTATGAAACAATGCCACAGCCCCACCTAGAGGCAAAAACCGCACAGCACAGCTGAGGTCTCCACTTACAGTAAGTAGCCTAATACAGGGCCACAAAGGGTGGTAAATCAGGTTATCTTGCATACAGCAGAGTTAGCAAATTCAGTGTGAAAAAATTTAAACAATGCCCAATTGATAGACCTTTATATCAAAGAGACTATCTTAAGACCGGTACATTTACCTTTGGAGAACATGTGCAGTTGATAGAAGGAGTAGAGATGGGAGCCAAGAGAGAGCACCCAGTAGGTACAGACCTCTGCTCTCCGCAACACCGCAAGGGTCGAGCTCTGTTTGGCCATCAGTGCCAAGACTGGAACGATCATGGTGAAGAGTGAGTGAGAGACATTAGATGTTTCAGCCACTTTATCGGCCACATTTGTCCCTCACTAACAACAAATAGAGGACCATTCTGATTCCATGAGAACAACATTACATTCCCTACTTTTCTCTCCAACATGTTTTAAAGCAAGAGGGTAGCCTATTTATTATATTAATTTAATGCATAGTTTTTGCAGTCTCCTATGACAAAAAAAATAAATAAATGGTGTATGCTAATTATAGGACCTTAGGTTTCTGGTTATAAGGTAATGTAGGCTATTTATAAGTACTTTATAGGTCAGTTGTATTTAGGCTACGTCAAATTTTCCAAAACAGGAGGTATATAAATTATTTCATTCATTACTTGAAATTAGTAGACACCTAACAGACTGTGCCTTTAAAGCTAGAGTCCTTAATTCAAACAAAGCATGACACCGACTCTGTTTTGGTAAAAAGCTAAAAGATGGGCCTGGAAAAATGTAACCACTCTCAAATTCATTGACTGAGCTATGGATGCAAGGACTAACTAATATCAAAATGTTTACCATATTTTGAGGCTATACAGCGTTTACTTACAAACATTGGGGTAACGCAAGTTTATATTTTGGGTTCTGATGGGGTACAACAGTTCATGAGCTCATGAGGCATAAATAAGTTATATTCTTCAAGAATCAATGGGTAGTCCAAAAATTGATGTAGCAACTAAGGATTCTAGCTTTAATCGTCAAATGAAACATCCACCTCATTTTGTGCCAGAGGTGAGTGAGGGACCACGTTTCTATTCGCTGCATACCACAATCGTCGTTGGAAACAATAGGCTATTGTGGCAAAGACGAGACCCTGTTTATGATCGGGTTCCAGAAACAGGATATAAAAAGCCACCATCTATGTGTTCGTGTGTGCAGTGCACGGCGTTGTATTCGAAATGAACCGATTTCAGAACTTTACACCGTTTGACACTGTTTACGCTGTAGCAATGCCTCTATTAGCGAGCCCGACTAAGGCACAAATATGGCTGCTTACTGAGCATAATACTCACTAATTGGCTAAAACAGAGAGCAACAACTGTGTTACTCACATGCACTGTGAAAGAAACAAATGCCCTCGGCTACATCTTCCGCTTTGTATGTAGGCCGGCAGTGAACACGGCTACCTTGGAAAATTGTCGAACGCTCAGGATTCAGGAAATCTCCGCCCACATTTTCCTTGGATGCTTGTCACTCAGACTTTTGATTGGCTATATTTGAGACAGTGATTTTTTTCATTACAATCACATGATTGGATGAAATCAGTGCCAATCACATAAATTGCAGACCCGTTTGATGAAATGTTCATATTTTTATATCAATATGCCTAAATATGTTTCATAAGAGAGGAAAGCCACAGTCGGTAAGAGTACTAGTAATTTCAACGAATAAACTATATATCCCATGAAATGCCATAGGCTCAGGGGTCTTCAACCTTTTCTTGCCCAGGGTCATATCTAGATGGATCCAGCTTTTGTTCAATTTACGTCAAAATTATTTTTTTATTTTAGATTTTATTTGAGCTAACCCTAAACCTTTTCCTAACCTTAACCTAGTTATCATAACCTGCCACGTTAATTATCCTAACCTGCTGCGTAAGATCTCCTAAACCTGCTACGAAAAGTCAATTCTGACAAAAGCTGGATACCTTCTAGCCATGACCCTTGCCCACCTACCCCATTAGGTGAATGATAATGGCAAGGAAAAGTAATCAACATTTTAAAATGAATAGATTTGGTAGATAGTTTTTCATTATTTTGACCTCCCCACATTATGATTGGAAGAGGAAGTGTAAACACTAACATAGCCTATTAGCTAGAAAGGTACTGTAACTCCAAACGCTGTTTAGCTGGTTAAACAAAGGTTAGCCATGTGTTGGCAAAAATGAATGTCCGAGTCAAGAAAGCTTACCACTTGCCGTACTGGTAGTTCATTCACGAGTGCTTTTTCAAAGCCTATGTCAGATTCTCCAGTGAGTGTATGTAATTGGCTCCAATGAGACTAATTTGATCAATATTAGGAGTTGAGAAATAAAGTTGACATCATTAGAAATAAGGTATTCTCTTACTTTATACTGCAGGCATGTAAGTGATTTTGTTGCTAGTGATATTCATAAAAATTAAAAATAAATAAAAACGTGTATATACAGTATATATATATATATTGCAGTACGTCCGCGTTCCCCTAGTTGAATACCCCTGGTCTATATCAACATTAGGCTACCCTTATAAACATGATTTGATGCTCTTATAGGCCTATCATTTCTTTACAAAGTATCCTATGATCTTATCAGTCCTACACAGCCTGTGTGGTGTGGTGATAGCTTTGTCCACTGAGTAGGGATAGAGAGCCACATATGAAGTCAGGAGCGTAGGCCTGCTTGGAGTAACATTTCCATGACAGTAGTCTATCTTGAATTGTGAGACATATGCTGATAGGATGTCTTCTCTCCTCTGGGCAAAGTGGATGACAACATGTTTCGTCTCACCTGACACCTGTAGCTTATTCTTAGTTTCTGATTGTTGTTATAAAAAGGATACGACTTTACACGTTCCCTGGTGGAAACATGTTTCTCATGTGGACCAAAATGCATTGTTTATGGACACAACCGCTCTGGGCTCTGTTTCCCAAAAGCATCTTAAGGCTGACGATGAACTTAGCCTTAAGATGCTTTTGGGAAACCGGACCCTAGTGAGGGCTGCCTCAGGCCAAGGTTCAAGGGATCGTTCACCCAAATTACAAAATGGCACATTGGTTTCCTTACCATGTAAGCAGTCTGTGGACAAGGCATGACAGCAATCCATGCTTTGGTTAAGTTTCCCCGGCACTGTTTCGACGTGCTTAGGTTTTAGCATTTGTGGCACAAATCCCACTCAAGTCATGGGACCGATATTAGCATTTTTCGTGCATCGTATCCAAATTATCTGAAAGTATCTACAATTGGTTGTGAAGCTAAATTAAGTGACTTATAGATGTTTGAACATGAAGCGCTAATATCGGTCCCATGACTTGAATGGGATTTGAACCACAAATGCTAAAATGTTAGCATGTGGAAACAGTGCCAGGGAAACTAACCCAAAGCATGGATTGCTGTCATATATTGTCCACAGACTGCTTACAGGGTAAGGAAACCATTGTTTCATTTTGTTATTAGGGTGAACTATCCCTTTCATATTGCAGGGTACCATAGCTTTCCTAAATAAAGACTGGGTTTGTTCAATGGGATGGCACGCTATAGCTCCCATTCCTCCAGGGTGAACTTTCCCTGTGTACAAATCTTGAATCAGCTTCCCCCCGCAATCTGAACCTTAACACTCATTTGGGAAAATTCAAAACTGACCCAAGATCAGCGTCTAGGAGCAACTTCACCCAACTCCATACCTTCCATTCGGAGGCGGAGCGTCCACATCGCTTTGCTTCAAGTTGAACACAGTTGAAGGCGCGATAGGCACTGCATCGTTCTGGCAGCCCTGCAAATAGAATTTGAAGGCATTTGAAGTTAGACTTGATCGTCAGCTGGACAAGAATTGCTGAAGAATGACGTCGAGGTGCCCCAGATGCACAAATGATGTGTTTTTTGGTAAGGAATCATTTTTGTAAACTTATAGCCCCCGCCAATGCCAAGGAATGTGAATATTGAAGATGATCAAAGAACTTGGATTGTTTATTTTGATGAATAATGATAATGATTTAGCATAGGGCTAACTAAAAGAAAATTAACTGACACTGAAAATTAAAATGGTTATTGTAGTGACAATTGTGTGCAGATATGAATAGAACAGAACATAATATAATACAATACAATAGAGTGTCCCTGCTGGTGACATCGTATTCGTTTAGCCTACTGACAAGGAGCTTTTCGCCCCCCAAAAATAAAATAATATAGAATTAAAATTAGGATTAATGTTACCTTTTCAAAGCCAGGCTATGGGTCTTTCAGCATCTCTGCTGCCGGGACTATTTTCACATCGGAAAGACGTGATTAATACTTAATTAATTAATACTTGACATGTGTATTTACTTTAACGTAGCATATGGGCAAGGTTATTCTGGTTACATCAGTTAAACCACTTGTTGGACTTGATGATTACGAAGGAGGCTACAGCTCTTGGTTGTTATCAATCTTGTCTCTTCCAGACATTTGTTTGATGGCAAAATATGGAGCATATTGTAAGATTAGGTATTGAACTTCAAGTGAAACTGAGCTGAAATTCACTTTTCTCTATAGATCTATTGGCTACATGTTGAACCCTTATCCTGGAGTGTGGTGACCCGTAATAGACAGAGGGAGAGAGGTCGAAATGTCCAATTACATTTCAGGGAGAGGGGAGAGTACAAAGTCTGTGTTGGTAATAGCCTACCTTGTGAAACAACACAGAGGTGACCCTCTGTATAATGTTCCAAAAATGAGATATAATCACAGCTAACAGCAATAGACAAATCATTTGCAAACAATGTTTTTGAAGGATATAACCTGTAAATGCCTTATGAGCTTAGTTCAACTGTCCTACCCAAATTGTAAGGTATTCATAACCCAATTGATAACCCACATTCTAAGGTTGTATTGTGTTATGCCTACATCATTGTTTATGAGTTGTTGTCATTTGAGTCTTTGTAAACAAACTCTCTCTGTCTGTCCTGCAGCTGAGAAGGTGAGCTCGCTGGGGAAAAACTGGCACCGGTTCTGCCTGAAATGCGAACGCTGTAACAAGACCCTGTCGGCTGGCAACCATGCTGAGGTAAAGGGAGGCCCTGTGGCCGTAATATTCTGTCAACAGAGAGAGAAAGAAGGAGGGAAATAAATATAATGAAAGAGAGAGAGAGTGAGGGAAGGGGTGTGCTATCTTACCCCAAAACAAAGGGAGGGAGGGAGACATCGAAGGGTTGTGCTATCCTACCCAAGAGGATGGGAGAGAGAGGGAAGGGGTTGCATGGGGACAGAGGGAGTAGGGCAGGCCACTGACCTCCATAAGGAGTAATATAATTTTGTAAAGAAAAAATATATATACTGTATATACTGTAATATATACACTGAACACAAATATAAACGCAACATGTAAAGTGTTGGTCCCATGGTTCATGAGCTGAAATAAAAGATCCCAGAAATTTTCCATACGCAGTAAATAATTATTTATCTCAGATTTTGGGCACAAATTTGTTAACATTTCTCCTTTGCCAAGATAATCCATCCACCTGACAGGTGTGGCATATCAAGAAGCTGACTAAACAGCATGATCATTACACAGGTGCACCTTGTTCTGGGAACAATAAAAGGCCACTCTAAAATGTGCAGCTTTTTCATACAACACTATTCTACAGACGTCTCAGATTTTGAGGGAGCGTGTGGTTGGCATGCTGACTGCAGGAATGTCCACCAGAGCTGTTGCCAGACAATTGAATGTTAATTTCTCTACCATAAGCCGCCTTCAACGTCGTTTTAGAGAATTTGGCAGGATGTCCAACCGGCCTCACAACTGCAGACCACGTGAATGGCATCGTGTGGGCGAAAGGTTTGCTAATGTCAACGTTGTGAACAGAGTGCGCCATGATGGCGGTGGGGTTATGGTATGAGCAGGCATAAGCTACGGACAACAAACACAATTGCATTTTATCGATGGCAATCTGAATGCACAAAAATACAGTGACGAGATCCTGAGGCCCATTGTGAGGCCCATTTTTTTAAAGGTATCTGTGACCAACAGATGCATATCTGTATTCCCAGTCATGTGAAATCCATAGATTAGGGCGTAATTAATTTATTTCAATTAACTTATTTCCTCATATGAACTGTAACTCAGTAAAATCAATGAAATTGTTGCATGTTGCGTTTTATTGTTCAGAATATATACACAGTACTAGTCAAAAGTTTGGACACACCTACTCATTCCAGGGTTTTTCTTTATTTTTACATTTTCTACATTGTAGAATAATAGTGAAGAACATGAAAACTATGAAATAACACATATGGAATCATGTAGTAACCAAAAAAGTGTTAAACAAAACAAAATATATTTTATATTTGAGATTCTTCAAAGTAGCCACCCTTTGCCTTGACGACAGCTTTGCACACTCTTGGCATTCTCTCAACCAGCTTCATGGGGTAGTCACCTGGAATGCATTTCAATTAACAGGTGTGCCTTGTTAAAAGTTCATTTGTGGAATTTATTTTCTTCTTAATGGCAAGAACAGCTCAAATAAGCAAAGAGAAACAACAGTACATCATTACTTCAATCAAACCGGAAAATTTCAAGAACTTGTGCAGTCGCAAAAACCATCAAGTGCTATGATGAAACTGGCTCTAATGAGGAC